TATTTACCAGTTCTCCAAACTACTCAAAATTTCTGCTACTGGTTATCCAGAACTGGTCAGAACCTGCTGAATACAACATCTGACGTAAGCCCAAGCACCTGTCACTCGTGCAAGTGAAGTGTTTTTCCACCCATTGCTTGCGCAGCCCAGTTTCAAACAGACCACTGTCCAGTAGTGGGCCATGGCCCAGGGGTTGAGGACCCTTGGATTAGGAGATTTCCTGAAAATTGGGGAACTGGTGCAAGGGATTGAAAAAGGTAGGAATTGTCCCCATACTTTCTGCAGGTGGGAATGTTCCAAATAAAATTGCCTCAAATAGGCAAGCAAATACCATTTATGAAACAGAATTTCAGGTTGTACAAGTAGCAAAGCTTGACCAATGTTTTGCAGATACAAGTGTAAATGATTATAATGTACAGATATTAAGTTACTAACAGGTGTATCATTTTATTTTCAGACTAGATAAAATTGATATTCTATAAAATTGAATAGTTAAAACTCAAAGCAGGGAACATAATTTGACCTTCGTCTATGAAATGCATCACTCAGAAGTATTATTCTTTCCTTTTATTGGTCTCTTTTATGACATTTACGTTCATGTCAGAAAGCTCATAATAATGCAAAAGTCATATGAGCAAGTTGAATTGCCTTGGACTTAACCCTTATATTTTTGTAGGACACCTGGAATGATATTATAATTGGAAGCGTACAAATGAGAGGGACAATGGCCTGTCCCAGGTATGCATTTTTTGTTATTCTATTTCATGGTTGAAAATAATTTAAGGTTGTGGTTACCTCATTCAGCTTTCTCGTTGTAGATGTATTCTTACAACCGTTGATCCAGATACTGGCATCATAGACAGAAAAGAACCTCTTAATACTTTGAAAAGGTAATAAAATATTTTGGCATCTTTAATACAATTGATGAAAGCCACTTTGGTGTAGTTTAGGTATTAGGCTAGAAACTAGGAGTCTGTGAATTCTAGTCCCACCTTCAGCAGTTGAGTGATCTTGGTCCAGTCACCCTCTCTCAGCCCTTAGAATGGAGGCAATGGCAAACCCATTCCAACAATGTAGCAAAAAAATCCAAACCCTACAGGGATTTCTCTAGGCAGTTACCAGGAACCAAGACTGATTTGAAGGTAGACATCCACACACCCACACACATTATGTGCATGATTGTGGTTTTTTCAAATGTGGCAATTATCTTTGCACATTTGGGAGGCTAAAAATTTATTGAGAATAACTTTCCATAAACTGGTACCCTCCATATGAGATGAGACTTTCCGTTTTCTGGATGGCAATTACATTCCCAGTGTGCCTGGAGGAAGCAAGTTGGAGAAACTAGAGCAAATGCAATAGCAACATTTCTTTGTTTTGTGAATTTTTGCTACCTCAGAATTCGTTAATAAAATTAGGCATTTCATGAATGAAGGTGAATATAAGTGTCCCAAGATAGGTAGTTCATCTTCAATGTTTCAGTTGTCTTACTTAGTTTTCCTCTTTAATGTTCTTAATCCAAATAACTGAAATGAATATTATTCAATTAAAAAAATGAAAATACAATTTCAAGTACAGTGCAACTTTTAAGAATGTGTGTTATACTAAAGTCCAACTGAGTTCAGTTTAACAATAGTCCAAACAATTATGTTTAGATTTCAGCCTTAATTTTAGACTTTCAAAATAGTTGTTACTATGTGATTGTGAGATTTTGTAACAATCTGGAATTTCAGGCATGTAGGAAACTTATGTTTGGTAGCTTCTTATAACAAAGTTATCTGCTTATTTTAACTATTTTATGAGTAATTCATTATGACCTTATTTTTTCTAATAGTTACCGCTTGTGTGAGCCTTCTGAGAAGCATATATACAAATCAAGCCCTCTGTTTGGATGGTACTTTGGAGTTGATAAAACAGGAACGCTTAAGGTTGGAGATCATGTTTACAAGATAATGTGGTGATAGAAATTTCCAAATGGAAATGCATTTTTGACATCTTTTAAATATCTTTTTTGAAGCTATTTTTCTAATGAAAATTTCCTCTCTTTAATCTAGGAATACATCCTGTAACTTTTTAAATGCAATTGTATTGGTGATAAATAAATGATTTTCTGCTTTCTAGAATTGAGTCAACAACATTGTCGTAGTTCAACTCTGTATAGTAATTAATACATAATGATTATGGAAAGCTAATGAGAGGTAAAACGAAGCATGAGCCATCAATGTGATATGCTGCAGAGAAGACAAATGCAATTTCAGACTACATCAAGCTGACGTATAATTTCCAAATCATGGGATATATAATTATTCCACTCTGGTTTTTTATGGTTTAGTGCTGTGACTGAGACACTTTAAGGTTTCAGAGAAGTTTAAACAGGTTCAGGTTCAGAGAACGTTAGCAAAGATGATTAAAGGATGAGAATGTAAGATTTTTGAAGAGAGATTGAAGAAGGTGGGTGTGATTACCTTAAGAAAAGATGGTTGAGGGGGATATAATAACCCTGTTTATATACCTGAAAGGAGATATGGAAGAAGTTCAAGACTGTTATCTTTCTTATTAATGGATTTAATTACTGTATTTTTCGGAGTATAAAACACACCTTAGTATGAGGTGTGTTTTGAAGAAGCAAATTTTTTTGAAGGTTTTGAAGAAGCAAATTTTTTTTAAAAAGTTTTTTCACTCTGCAAAGCTCCCGAAAACGGGCCAATTTTTTTCAAAAAAAGGGGCATGGATAGCCTTTAGGAGGCTTATAGAGTACTCCTGTGGGTTGGGGAGGAGCAAAATTGAGCAAAAAATGGCCCGTTTTTTGCTTATTTCTGCCCTCCCCAGCACCAAGGAGCACTCTAAAAGCCTCCTAAAGGCTATGCACAGCCATTTTGGTGAAGAGGGCGGGGTTTTGGGAGGCAAAAAAATGCTATATTCAGTATATAAGACGCATCCAGATTTTCAGCCTCTTTTTTGAGGGAAAAAGGTGCGTCTTATACTCCGAAAAATATGGTAAATAATAACTGACTTAAGATATAGGAGGGCAGGTTCCCATTAAGTATCATAAACACATTCCTAGGTGGTTCTACTGTTATTGACATCTGCTGCCTTCTCTTAACCTTTAATCATGGTTTTTAAAATTTATTATTATTTTTATATATTACTGTTTTATTGTTACTTTTTTGTGAGATAGGTAGCTATATAAATTTGATGAATGAATTATTGAATGAATCAAGGAATCAAGAAATGAATCAAGGAATGAATGAATCAATACTAGTTTGATAACAGAACCAATGAAATCAGAGATGGTGGGGTGCTTATCTGGTTGATGTGTTCATGCAGAGAACCATCTGTCTGATATGGTTTAATTTGGATTCTAGCACCAGACAAGGATTTGGACTTAATAGCTTAAATGGTTTCTTTAACTCTGCAATTCTAAGTTCCAAATTCTTCACTGGCAGTCCATATTTTTATGTTTTATAAGTCTAACTCTTACTTAGAACTTATGATAATGTCAAGTTTGGATAGGCATCATGTTTCCTAATTCCTTTTATATTCTTCACAAAGATAGATAAAATATGCATCGATAAGTTTTCTTTATATCATAATTTGTATCTGATTTATTTTTAAGAGATCAAATTACTAACATTTGTAATATATGCTGTTGCTTATAACAATATTATCAAGTTACTGAATGTAAACTTTGGAAGTGACATGGGAATTACTTGATTTTTAAAAATAAAAATATAAAACATACAAGTGCTTTTCCATGTGATTAATTATCTGAAGTTATTGAAAGAATATATTAGCAAAAGTATTAATAATCTTATTTTGTCTAGTAAGTCTGATTTAGGGAGATTACTAAGCTTATATGTACCGTAGAATTATGCATTTGATATAAGAATGTAATTCCTTTTTTAGTGTGTATTCTTCCTTTATTCTGCAACGTATGTTCTTGGTATTACTATCATGTTCTATGAAATTTAAAGGTGAAAAAAAGGATTCTCAAATTCTGCTGTGCTATATTCCCATTAAATGATAAATAACATGAAACTTTTTCATATCTGAAACTATTTTATTAAGGTCAGTCACAGTAGAACCTACTCATGCAACATCTCCTGAGCCGTTTTAACAAGCCAGGTAGGGCATGGATCTAAAGAGACTCTACAAAGAGTGCAGAGAAGAGCAACAGAGATGATTAGGGGACTGGAGGCTAAAACATATGAAGAACGATTTCAGGAACTGAGTATGTCTGGTTTAATGAAAAAGAGGACTAGGGGAGACATGACAGCAGTGTTCCGATATCTCAGGGGCTGCCACAAAGACAAGAGAGTCAAGCTATTCTCCAAAGCACCTGAAGGCGGACAATAAACAATGAGTGTAAACTAATCAAGGAGAGAAGCAACTTAGAACTAAGGAGAAATTTCCTGACAGTTAGAAC